GTTCCCTGGCTTTCGAGGATTTCAGGATCCTAAGCACGCTGCTCCGACGAGTAGTTCGTTTTTAGTTCGTGATCTGCACCGCAAGTGTTCCCTGGGTCTTTATTAGAGAAAGGCCATAAATTATTTTTGTACTGCTTGGTACTAGTATGAATGTAATTTAGCGGTACAGGATTTTTCAGAAGCGAATCTGTTGTAGCGTCTTCACGAACGAGGGGGGGGAGGGGGAGAAGTGGGGTCGTAATTCTCCCAGAATAGTTACTCTGTCAGTGGAACTGTGATGAAACCTTCAAGTGTTTCTGTAAGTAGTCCTTGACGCTCTGCGAAGTAGATTACCCTAACTCTTCACAAAGACAGTTTACTTGTAAGTACATAGTTAGGAGCAATTTATAAATTAGCTTGGGCGACGGCCAAACAAACAGTTACGGTTTCAGAACTTTCTAGTTCCTAGATTTGTGGTCTCCGTTGTTGCTTCCAGTAGCAGAGCCAGAGTTCAGAGATGTTGTTCCTCCGAACTCCATTTTTTTCGGGGCCATCACTCTGAACTTCTTTGATTATCTTATACCCTATTGATTACTGTCGAGTAATCATTGCATTACCATTAAATCGTGATAGTCTGTATCGATGTGAAGTACGAGTTTGATCATTTTGAGCCTGATTCTGCCCACCAGTTATACTCGTTATCCCTGAGACGGGGTAGGCGTGGCATTCGAACATGGCACAGAACTGGTTACTCGTGGAATATTTCAATTTGAGACAACCGCCATCTTGTTCTTTGTTGGACAGAGACGTGACCACATTTGGGTCAAAATGAAAATATCTCTCCAAAAGCATAGCCACCACGACGTTTAGTTGAAGTACGCAGCCACGCCTACCTCATCTCAGGGATTTCGAGTGTAGCTTTGGTTCCACTTCTTGGCCCCGCTTTGTAGTAGGCACATCCCGTGCGCAGAGCAAATAAGATTACATCAATTAAGAGCCTTTGAATGGCCTCTGAAAAAATTGTGATCGGGGACACGTTTCGTCGTTAGGGTGCCACCCTCCCCCTTTTTTCCGTTCCTCTCCAACCCACTAATTTCTTGAATTCTCGCAACCTTACCGCCGCTACTACTTTTTCGGAGTTCCTTCCAAATCTTTCCCACTTCGCCCAAAAAACTGCAGCAGAGGCGGTCGGGGGAGAGGTGTGTAGCGCACTTGAAACGGGAAAAACTCAGAAAAGTCGACAACAGAAAAGATACATCTCAAGGCGTACGACTCCCTCTCTACCTTCAACAACCAAATGCGACCCCCTTAGGATTCCTAAAAAACCACGTGCCCTGACGGTGATGGTGCCTGCAGTCAGACCCATGGCCACTAATTGTGTATTTCGCATTTTGGAGCCTATCAAACTCCACTGCCAGTCTTGATAAACCATGGTATTCGCGTTTGTCAACAAGAATGTTTTTGCTTCACAAAGCGGCTGATAGTTTTATCGCCCTTGTCACAGTCTTACTTTTCTTCCGCATAACTCCTACCTCTTTTTAGGAGCAGTACTGGACATGGTGAACAGGAGGAAATCGGACTTCGATCACAAATTTCCCGTCTTTGAAAACTTCTCGAGGGTTCTACCCGGCGAGGAGAGGATTCACGAAAATATTCTCGTTGACAGTACGTTACTTGGCTGTGAAATTGGTTTTTAGCAATTTAGAAGTACGTGAGTAACGTACATCATTATATTATTGAAACTAGAGAACCCAAGCCTTTCGCTGGAAACTTCCCTGAGGGTTATAGGTGCACTGGTTACGAATACTGCACTCATGTTTCGCTCTGACGCCATTTGACGGCACACTTTTCTACCAGAATCATTTTTGGATGTAAGGTACATAAACCATCCTGATTACGAAAACGACGGCTACTTTCGGTGCCGTAATTATGAGATTAGGGGCCCTCATTCCTAATGGTGCCGCAGAAAAAGTGCCGTATCAAAAATGCTTTTTGAGTTAG